CAGACAGACACACAGACAGACACAGACAGACAGACACAGACGACAGACACAGACAGACAGACACAGACAGACACAGACAGACAGACACAGACAGACAGACACAGACAGACAGACACAGACACAGACAGACACAGACAGACAGACACAGACAGACAGACACAGACAGACAGACACAGACAGACAGACACAGACAGACAGACACAGACAGACAGACAGACAGATATATATAAGGAGACTGCTAGGATGGAGTGTTAGCAAAGGCATTTCACACACGTATCGAAGTGGAGCAAGGGGTCCACAGTAAAGAGGCCCTTGTGAAAGCCATATTGGCGAGGGGAAGGACTAAAAGTCTCTCCAAGTAACTTATCAAACTTCTATCACCAATCGTTCCATCACCTTGCACACTACACTGGTAAGAGCAATGGGATGATAGTGAGGTATGAAGCCTCGAGGTGCCTGGATTACGAAACTATAGTACAATGGCAAATTTCCATTGTTAATGGAGAAATAGTGTCCAAATAAGACTGAGAAGACACTAATTATAATCATGGAGTGTTAAACCCGTAGAATTATACAGCGCATGGGGGGAGGGAAGTGGAAGGAATTCAGGCTCAATGCAGGGAACTGGAGCACAATTCCCCAGATCAGGAGCCCCTTACCAGCATCCAGGAACCTCCCTTGAGGGGAAAAGATGCAAAGGACTAAGGGATGTAGAAAGCACATGTTATAGCTTTCTGATATGAATATCAGGCCCAGTTGCCGATGATTGGCAAATGGAGAGTGGACTCAGATCTAGGAGAGGTACATTATATGACCATTTCATTAGAGGAGAAAACCAAGGGCAATTTCTCCTTGGTAAACTTAAATGCAAGAAATGAGGGACAAAGGTGAAGCCCTTGGAAGACATGGACAAGATAGTTCCCGATTTCCATGGCAACTTCAAGAGGTTCCGCAACACCAACACCAGCAACTAGCAAAACGGGATTTGGGTTCGGAGTGAATTTGCCACACAACTTCCATACCTTCCAAACCGCGCACACCGGGGAAGTCGAGGAAATGGTAGACGTAGTCTTGCCAACAATTGCATTTAGCATCACGTATGATGCTGCGAGCGATTGCCCTCGCCCACTTAAAATCCAAAAGACGATCCGAGGTCTGATTATGTCTAACAGCCCCACACAACATGCTTCAAAACCAATGCATGGACACACGCAGGAGACCACCAAGCATGCATGCCTGCCCGAGGTTTGAGGAATAGAATTATGCTGCAGTCAAAACTAAAGTCGAAAACTGGTGCAACAGTTCAATAGAGGATGAAGCAGGGTCCCCGCAAAGGTGGCAAGACGAGAGCAAGCCCCAATTCACTTGTTCAAACTGCAAACGGGCTACAAGGCAGTTGGGAATACACATCAGAAGAAAGAATAGGAAAGTGATCACTGTTTTGTAAATCCGGGAGAAAAGACCAAGCAAAGTGCAACTGGCAAGGAGGAGATAAAAATCAATGCAAGTCAAAACGGGTGGGAGCACCCATATTTAAAACTAGTATGAGAGGTGAGAAGTCTCCCAAACTTATCACAAGTCACAGTAGGATCCTCTCCAAAGATGATGGCAAGCATTTAACTTAAGGGCAGCAGTATAATGTAGCCGAGAATGAACATGCCTGTTGATATGGTATACCAACGAACACAAGCAGCATGCTCAGTGAATGATTCATCAGGAAAGGGATCAGAAGAATGCAACAGCAAACTGAAACAGAATGAACAGCCAAATGAATTTTAGGCTCTTGTAACCTGACATACTGGGGAAAACTGGGAGAGCAACACCTGGAGCTCTCTCCTATTACCAGAGGCCACGAACATTCCATTGCAAACAAGTCATTATTTACAAAGTCAGGAACACCATTAATAAGCAATAAAATCTAGGGGCTGTTAGGGTCAGCGAAGTCAATGTGTGGAGGCAACGGTGTGTACGTGAGGAATCTAAATGCTGTGAAGCAAAGAGATTGCCACAAGGGTTAAAAAAAAAAAGGGGGGGGGGGTAAAGGGAGGCACGGTGTCCATAGGGGGTTTCGTCTCCACGATATAGTTGGAGATAGCGTCAAGTCTGTCTATAGGGAAGATGCTGATACAATTTCAAGACAGGCGAGGTCGAGCAAGTAGAGATCGAGGAGACCGGGGGGGGGGGGGATAAGGGAACAACAGAAGTCAAGAGGTGGAGAGTATGAACCTAGAGATGCTCTGGCAGGGGCAGAGTTCTGCAGTGAAACAGAGGAAGGAGGTTGGAAGGTAACTGGACAAGACTGGAATGGATGGGGGATAAGATGGGGGGGGGGGACTAGAGGGAGAGGGGTGATCCTCCACCTTCCTGAGTTGGAAATAGGGGAGAGAACCAGGAACCGAGGCTGAAAAGGAAAACAGTTGGGAAATTGTAAGCACTGGAGTGCAAAGAGACTTGGGCTTACAAGATGGGTGTAACTTTACAGGTGATTGGCACTAAGATGCAGGCATTGTAGAAAAACTAGTGGGAGAGAAGTAAAAGTAGGAATAGGTAAGGTGGTCAGGGTAAAACTGCAGAATTAGAGATGAGGGTGACCCCAGAAGACAAGACTCTGGAGGAGCTGGTAGGCGGGGGATTCGGCCAAGGTTGGAGGTCTCCTAGCTACTCAAGAATAAGGGACATTGCAGATTCTCCTGAAGGCAAAGCAGAAAGCCATAGCATAATTAAGGCCTTTGCTCTCCATAGGACAATGGATTTCTCCTTTATTAAGGCAGACCTGATATCGGCAGGAAAAAAATGAGGTTCATTGCAATTGAGAAGTGGGAGGAAGATTGCAAGATGTATCAGCACTATCTGCAGCACCAGACTGGGCACTTACAGATCTGCAGTATTTAGCAAGGTGTCTTAAGCACCTGCAACTTTGACATTGTTGGGGGGAGTAGGGACCACTTTACAGACTTCTAGGCGATGGCCTGCAATATAAACAGGAGTTCACGGCAGTCAAAGGTTAAGCCGGTAATGTTACTGTAAAGCGCTTCTGCCCGTGAGTGGGCAGAACATATGTACCTACTTCGAGAATTGAAAGGTCCTGAAGGGCTAATTGCTCCAAAATATCACTTCCAAACTATACGATACATGGTAAAACCACTGTACGAGTTGGGAGTAGCGCACTTGTGAACTGATTGGAATATCAATGGAAACAAGATGGGAAAGCACGAGCTTTTTGTGCATTCTGGACTAATGTGAGCACCACTTCGAAGAGCGTGAAAGGATATTTTGGTCAACGTGTCATAAAAGCTTTAATCTTCCTGACCATAGTACTGGTAACCTGTTAGAGAAGTCTTTTGTAGGGAAAAGAATTTAGTCCACTGCATACTTGTAAACGCTGCATAAAGGAAGTGGGTGTCCCATAGATGGTCTTTGGATGGAATGAGCAGACATTCCAGAACAATCGGCAAATGGTCTGGAACGTTTAGGCATAGTACTGTGGACGGCCAGACCCAAGGTAGGCAATCCGAAAACCTGTCTAGCCATATTCAGGGACGCTGGATGCATAGTTAAAGGTATGCAAGAGGTAGAGGCACTGATGGGGGTGGAGCCCTAACAGCTTGATCAGGTGGCAGAATCAAGAGCAGAAAGTACAGGAGTATGGGAAGTCTAGATAATGGTCCAATAAAGCCAGGTCAGAACAATGTGGGAACGGAAAAGAACCTGGGAGGAGCCGGCAGTAATCACAGAATGAAGATGGATAGCGGTGCTTTAAAAAAAAATTACTAGAAGGCACTAAAGGGCTGCAGGTTTCCCTCTCCCTCCAGCCGAGAGGACCTCAAAAGTAGTGCAGCTGCAGCCTGGAACCCGTGCCATACCCTACCCTTCACGCCAGTAAACCAGCACTCTGGGATAGCAACCTCATCTACTGAGGCACCTCAGCAGACAAGAGGGGTGATCTGAAATCCTCGTCAAAGCATACCTCCATCTACTTTCACCTCCCAAAACTGACAGGCAGCCTTGTAGAGATAAGTCCTCTGCAGGACACTCCCACCTACTTCCCAGAAGTCTGGGAAGGGAGCAGGGCACCTCCAGGCAACACAGATTCCACTGCAAACTACACCACACCCGAGGAACCTCAGCTGGATGAACTCCAGCACACTTTCCCCTACCTAGAAACTAATGCCAAAGGGAAGGACCCCAGAGGCTACAAATGGGATGGGGATAGGGTAGGGAGGCTGGGGGAGGATATAATTAGGTTTGTTCTGAGTTACTGTGTCCAATTCCTCAGACCAATAGCCTCTTCACCACAAGGAGCCCCCCCCCCACTCAAAAAGGTAAACACCACCAGCAACGCAGAAGCAGTGTGGAACCTGTGCTATACCCTACCCTTCACACCAGTAAAAACTGGTACTCCAGGATAGCAACCTCACACTGACCAGCAGACAGAAGAGGCCGGGTGGACATCCACCACAAAGCATACTTCCCTTTGCTGCCACCTCAAAACCCACAGGCAGCCTCTGGAGATACACTAGTCATTTGCAGGACAAGTCACCCCCACCCCTTTGAAATCAGGGAGGGGAGCAGGGCTCTTTCCGTCTGTCCAGATTCCATGGACAACAACTACACCTGAGGGACCTCATGGAGTGGGATGGACGAACCCCAGCACACTTTCCCCTATCTAGGAACTAATGCCTGAGGGGAGGACCCCAGAGGCTACAAATAGTTTAAGGGATGGGGAGGACAGGAGTGGGGAAGGGGACTTGAGTTGGAGGAAGACCAAAGGGTGTAACTTCAGCCTGAGCCCCTTCACTATAAGGAGGCATCTCTCCCACGAGGTGTGAACCTCAGGCATGGGCCAATTAGAGATTTTGTTTATGGCATTTTATATATTCATTTAACCCAAATTATGAGGTCACATGCTAAATTAGAAAGGGTCAGTGTTAATATATCAGGACACTTCAAAATATTGATGGCATTATAATATGAACCCATAGGTTAAGTCATACACCATGTAGGCAATAGGAAACAATCAAGTTTTATGGAACAGACATATGAGCCCCTCACCAACGAAGGCATCTTATGGGTAAATCAGCAAAAAATAAGATAGGAAAAAATTATAAAAGTTTTAGCATACAGTAGGTTTAAGAAGTGCATGAATCTTAAATACAGTGATATTGGTTAAGGCTTCTTTCCATCTGCTAGCTCAATCCTAAGAATTTTAGTTAACTTTAAAATTATTTACCTCAAGATTGAAACTGATGAGTTTAGCATTTGCAATAGTGCAATACATTGGTTATAATATAAAAATTAAGCACTAAACCCTGAAGGGTCACTTCTAAACTAAACTGCTTAAACAGGTAATCTCGGTGCAATCAGGTGTTCAAAATTAAGGAAATTCAATCTATGCCCAGCTTGGCCTTTGCCATCTTTCCAAAAGCTACAGCACCAGGATCGTTGATCTCAGCATAGCCTGGTAGGGTTGACTTGCACTTCTCCAACCAGGCAGCCACATTAGCATGCTTGCTAATGTCTATTCCCGAAGCCTCAAAGGTAGAGACTGAAGCCACGAGAACGTTGTCTGCAACCGTGACATTATCGCCGACGGCCCACTCGTGACCGGCCAGGAAGTCGTTTAACCATCCCAGCGCCTCATGAAGAGCTTCTAGCTTAACTGGGTCAACTTTCTCCTCTCCTCTGAACATTACTGGGTACTGTGCAAAGAAGGTATAAAATGAACAAGTTTTAAATAGTTTACCACCTGCAAAATGTCCTAAGCACTGTGGGAGTACACCTTTCTCCCTAAACCAGTATTTGGAATTTACATTGAATAGGCTTCCTATTCAAAGGAGAAAAACATTACTGTCAGATGAATGTATGTCAAATATCAAAATTACCACTCACCACATACTCTCCAAAGCGGTGGTAGAGTGTGCCCATGTCGAAGTATAGGAGACGATCTATAGTGGCACGGGTCTTTGGGTCACTGGGATACAGCGAGTCTTCCTTGCCATACTGGCTAATTAGGTACGTGCAGATAGCACGGCTGGGAAAGATTAAATATTTTTAACACATTTAGGGTTCTAAAGTTTACAATTAATGGTCAGCAATGACTTATTGTTGCCTTAACATTTCAGCATTTAACCGATCTTTAGGTATTAATATTTTCTTGCCGACAAGTTCAGTATAAATTTAGTAAAACATGAAAACAAAATTAAAGACATATTCGATAAGTGCACCCCCACAAATACCTGTTTAGCAGTTTTCATTAGTTATGGCGCCTCTGCTAGCTATTGTGCATTTCATACCTTTAGAGTTAAACAAGATCAAGGTCACAATAGGTATGTCATACACAAGGGAGCATAGGTAACTAATAGAAAAAAAAAAATAGCCATTCAGCATTTTACGATCCAGTTTGTAAACAGTACAGCAAGGAATAAGTATTGAGATTAAAAAGCCCTAACTGGGTGGTGGCAATCTTAGTTTAGCTAACCGAGTCAAGATTAGAGCAAAAAGAATCAAGAACCTATTAATGAGGATTTTCCATATACTGCAAGGTTTACATGGAAAGGTCAAGGTTGTCCAAACATGCAACCCAAGATACAATGCTCCAGTGCATGGCCCTGTGTCCACTGTTTTAAGCAGCATCATACAACCCATACCGAGATTCTTATAGCTTAGCCTTTGTCTAACAGCAACAGCTTTCAATTTACCAGCCTTGTGACTTCCTCCATAGGTTTAACTTCATGCAGAATCACTTAAAAATCCTGAACTTTCAAAGTGCTTTTGAGATTTCACATTATCAAGGAACTGTAAAAATAAAGATAAGCAGAAGGCATACAATGAAGAGATTACACCTCAGTCAACTTAACACCTGACCTGTTAAAATTTTTACTCAATTTCCTAAATGTTGAACATAAGTGAACACAATTGTTTATTAAAATATGATGCTATTTGGACCCTTCGAGAAATTTCGAGCGAGAGGGTGTAGACGAGTTGCAGAGCGATGGCAGGGGAGACGCCATATTGAATTTAATGTGTGAACACTACTTAATTGTGCAATGTAACGAGGCATTCGCAAAGGTCAAAAGGCATATACCTGCTTCAATCCGTAATTTAGAAATTGCCAACACGTTCCCGCTGAAAAATTGGGATAGCGAGGAAAATCCTTACAATTCGGCAACCAGGACATAACAGACCAGTGAATCCTAAGAACACAGCTAAGTGACTTATGTACAGTAGTTTTTGCAATGGCTATCTTAAATCTTGGCTGTAGAAGTAATGTTTGGGTGTTCTATCAGCATTACGAGTCTAGTAATTAAATGGCAAGCATTAATACAAATTTCTTTTGTGTACCCAGCAAGGCTAATCATAGTCCACATTTTATAATTTACCTTTACTGGTTTAATATTTAAATTATTCATTTAATGTCAGGTGTAGCTTTTTGCGAGTGGGCATCAAGGGAGTTACAGTTCAGCAGTCTGCTGTGACAAGTCCTACTTACCTCGCCCAAATTAGCAGTTAATTCAGGAAATGCCCAACAAGCCTCCTGGTCACAATTCATAACGTGAATTATGTATTATAATAAGAAAGAAGCACCAAGCCACAAGGGCTATACAGCGCTGCAGGGTAGGGAAGGAAGCGAGGGTATTGGGCAGAAGGGGGAGGGACGATTAGGAGGTTACAGAAAACAGCAGGGCAGGGGATAGTGCAGGGGTAGAGGGTAGCAAGAGTGAGGTAGAAAGGGCTGAAGGTATCAGTTTGTGGAGCAAGTCAGTTGTCAAAAATTCGATTAGAGTCAGGATGAAAGGTGGGTCCATCAGTGAGAATGGGAGGTAAAGATCAGTGGAGCAAAGACGACGTTGCAGGTAAATTCTGCGAGCTCGATGATAAAGTGGGCAGTCTAAGAATGTGGCTGAGAACTGAATCTGGCAATTCCCACAGGAGCAGGGCACCTCCACAAGATATCCACAAGCAAGACTAGTATGGCCAATGCGAAGGCAGGAGAGAGTAGTCTCCCAACTTCGACACTGGTGACAAGACGATGACCAGTAACCTATACTGTTTAATATAACAGTTTATTGAGCAGAGCAGACCAATGTTGTTGCTAATGGGCGTGAAGGTGGGTAGCTATTAAGAGCAAAATAGCATGGAAATGGAACACCTATGAAATTGGTAGGATATTTACTGCTGACTATGCAGCAGTGTCTGCCTGCTCATTGCCCTGTATGTCAACATGACCAGGAACCCAACAAAAAACTATCTCCATGCTTGGTAGAGATACGGCATAGACAAAGTTGGATACGGAAAACTAGAGGGCGAGGTGTATCAAATTTCTGTCTAGCCTGAAGAGCACTAAGGGAGTCAGAACCACAAATGATGACAGGCACAGATGCGATACGAATAACTGCTGCAAGAATGCCATACAATTCAGCAGTAAAAATGCTAGCCAAAGATAGTAAATGCCCTCACACGACAGTCTTGAAACTGTTGCAAATCCGACAGAAGATTTAGAGCTATCTGTGTACACTGCGATGGCATGAGAATGAGTGGAAGTGGTCAAGAAAAAGAGCAGGAAGCCACCGTAGGCAGTATGGCTTTTGAGCAAGGGAGTGAGAAAGAACAGACCCGAACAGCTGGAACTTCCCAGGGGGGGTAGGGAAAAAAGATGCTACATGAACATAAAGGCGGTAACTGAAGGGAAGACAAGAGCGAATGTAGGTGAAGAGAGAAGGGACTGAGCAAACAGGGCCAGCGAACAAATAACGAATGTCTTGCCTGAGTTTACCTGGAGAGAGTTCCGGGGGTCAACGCCCCTGCGGCCCGGTCTGACCAGGCCTCCTGGTGGATCAGAGCCTGATCAACCAGGCTGTTACTGCTGGCTGCACGCAAACCAACGTATGAGCCACAGCCCGGCTGGTCAGGAACCGACTTAGGTGCTTGTCCAGTGCCAGCTTGAAGACTGCCAGGGGTCTGCTGGTAATCCCCCTTGTGTATGCTGGGAGGCAGTTGAACAGTCTCGGGCCCCTGACACTTATTGTATGGTCTCTTAACGTGCTAGTGACACCCCTACTTTTCATTGGGGGGGATGTTGCATCATCTGCCAAGTCTTTTGCTTTCGTAGCGAGTGATTTTCGTGTGCAAGTTCGGTACTAGACCCTCTAGGATTTTCCATGTGTATATAATCGTGTATCTCTCCTGCCTGCATTCCAGGGAATACAGGTTCAGGAACCTCGAGCGCTCCCAGTAATTGAGGCATTTTATCTCCGTTATGCGCGCAGTGAAGGTTCTCTACTAATATCAGTGACCATTCTCTAAATGGAAGGATTGCAGAGATCGTGAGAGCGCACAATGGGCATCACTACGATCAGACAAGGATGGAACATCTGCTTCTGCATAGAGGCTCTCAACAGGGTAAGAGCAAAAATCACCAAGGCATAAATGTAACCTTTGGTGATGGATGGGGATTAAGGCTCGAGTAGCAGGAGAGGCCGCTGAATAGATCTGGTCACCATAATAGAGTCCTGATAAAATGAGGGCTGAATGTATGCGAAGGAGAGTTAGACGATAAGCTCCATGAAAGATGAGAGGGTTTTTAAGGTGGTTCAGCCGGCAGTGACAAGTTGCCTTTAGAGATGTAATGTGGAGTTTCCAGGATAACCTACAGTCAAAGAGAAGGCCTAGAAACCTGGCTATCACGTTCAGGGATACGGGAGCCATAGAGGTACAACTATTATAATAAAGAAGTGCTAAGCCACAAGGGCTATACAGTGCTGCAGGGTAGGGAAGGAAGCGAGGGTATTGGGCAGCAGAAAAGGGGAGGGATGATCAGTAGGTTACAGAAAACAGCAGGGCAGGGGTAGAGGGTAGCAATAGATTGAGGTAGAAAGGGCTGAAGGTATCAGTTTGTGAAGTAAGCCAGTTGTCAAAAAGTCAACGAGTGTCTGGATGAAAAGTGGGTCCATCAGTGAGAAGGGAAGGTAAAGAGAGCAGCGGAGCGAAGACAGAGGTAAATTCTGCGTGCTCGTTGAAAAAGTGGGCAGTCTAACAATGTGGCTGACTGATAATGGAACCAGACAATTCTCAAGAGCAGGGCGCCTCTCCACGAGATACCCATGAATAAGACGAGTATGGCCAATGCAAAGACGGGAGTAGTAGTCTCCCAACCTAGACTGTTGACAAGTAGACGGCCAGTAACCTATACTCGGTTTAATAGATTGAAGTTTGTTACCGAGCATAGTAGACCAACGTTGTTGCCAACGGGTGTGAAGGTGGGTAGCTTTTGCAGCAAAGTAGTCCGTAAATAGAATACCTCTATGAAACTGGTAGGTCATGTACTGCTGACCACGCAGCAGTGTGCCTGTTCATTGCCCTGTACGTCAACATGACCAGGGACCCAACAAAAAAAAAAAAAAATCTATGCTTGGTAAAGATGTGGCGTAGCCAAAGTTGGATACGGAAGACTAAGGGGCGAGGTGCATAAAGTTTCTGTATAGCCTGTAAAGCACTAAGGGAGTGAGAACCACAAATGACAGGCATAGATGCAATATGGACAAGTGCTGCAAGAATGGCATACAACTCGGCAGTAAAAATAAGAGCCGAAGATAGTAAATGCCCTCGTACGACGCTGTCTGGAAACTGCTGCAAATCATACGCCGTCAGAAGACTTAAAGCCATCTGTGTACACTGCAATGACATGAGAGAGTGGAAGTAGTCAAGAAAAAGAGCAGGAAGCAACCACAGACAGTTGGGCTTTCGAGCAAGGGAGAGAGAAAGAACAGACGAACAGCTGGAACTTCCCAGGGGGGTAGGGAAAAAAGATGCTACATGAACATAGAAAGGTGGTAATTGAAGAGAAGACAAGAGCGAATGTAGGCGAAGAGAGAAGGGACGGAGTAAACAGGGGCGGCATACAAAAAAAAATGTCTACTAATATCAGTGACCATTCTATAAATGGAAGGATTGCAGAGATCTTGAGAGCGTACATAGTAGCGAAGGCAATGGGCATCATGGCGATCGGATAAGGATGGAACGTTCGCTTCTGCA